ATTCGATATGCCAGACACAGTAACACCAAAGTCTCCAATGGAGACGTTACTGGGCCCGCTCGAGCAAATCGACGATCAACGGGAGGGCCTTTACCTTTTTACCTTATCTCTCCTATTGGGTTTATGTGAAAAGTAATATAAGAGAACAGGCCTGACTGATAGGACTGAGTGTAAGATCATTCAAAGGCCAGGAAGATAGTACAGTGGGTAGGGTACTTGCCTTGCATACAGCTGACTGGGTTCATCCCCTGGCACTGCATATGTCTCCTGAGCACTGCCAAAGTGACTCCCTGGGCATAGCCAGGTATGGCCCAAACGCCACCCCCACACAAAAAGACTACATGTCATATTGCTAAAGCTACCAAACTTAAGGACTTGGGTCTGCATCACTTGCAAAACATTTTTTGTTTTTGTTCCACACCCAGCTGTGCTCAGAATCACTCCTGGTGAGCTCAGGCGACCATATGGGCTTCCAGGGATTAAAGCCTGGTGGACCACTGTACTCTCTCTCCAGCCCTACAAAACATCTTTTTTTTAAGGCATTTTGAGGAAGCATGACTTTTGAAAAAGAATATATTAATTTAGTCGGTAAATTTATGAATACCTATTTGGGGTGAAGAACTATGCTAGGTATTGGAATCATATTAGCCGCATTCACAGGAAGTTCAAGCAGAGGGGAAGTAAGGCACTGAACTGTTGCTAAGGATAATTGTGACAACTGTTGGAAATGATACATTGTATAGGCTCCAAGAAAATCCAGAGGTCAGTGGAAAGCACACCAGCCACTCAAAGCCAGGGTTTGCAAAGATATTCGGGTACTGCTTATGCGACAGAAAAAAACAGAGGAAACATTTAGACAGAAAACATGCATCGTAAGATGGTAAAGGTTTCAGCATGGCAATAACATGATCACATGATTTAAAATACCACTAGCAACAAGAAGAAGACAGCAAAGATGACAGCCAAATGATGCTGTTAAGACTAGCTACTGAAGGGGTTGGAGCACACGGCCAACACGGGTTCGATCCCCAGCAACCTGTATGTTCCCCCGAGCACCACCAGGGGTAATTCCTGAGTGCAGAGTCAGGAGCAACCCCTGTGCATCGCCAGGTCTGACCCAAACAGAAAAAAAAAAGGAAAAAAAGAAAGAAAAAAATAGACTAGTTACTGAATACGCCGACAAGAATGGTGGTTGGTCAAGGGTAATCGATACGCAATAAATGATGCAAGGAGAGAGGAAAATAAACCAACCAAAATAATTCCCTGGTTTCTGGCAGAAACAAATGGATGATAATTGATTATAAACCCATTTGTAAATATCAAGTTTGTGTTAACTCTCAAGGAAATCCTCAACTAGACATATGAGTATGAGTCTAAATCTTAGGCTGGAGAGATATAATTTGGGAATACTGCACAAAGGGAAATATTCAACTATTGTAATGAAAGAGCTATCTTAGAGAGAAAATCTGTAAGGAATACCATAAGAAGACGAGAATGGGATAAAGCGGAGAAAGAAGAGTTCCAAGTTAGTAGGCATACCAGGGCCAGACAGAGAGTTCAGATAAGGCCTTGCATATGTCAACCAGCGTTTGATACCCAGCACCTATTATGGTGCCCTGAGCTCTGCCAAGAATGATCCCTGAGCGCAGAGCCCCAAGTAAGCCTTGAGTACAGTATTTAAAAAAAAAAGGCCAAAACCAAAAAATATTCTGATAAGCTAAAAGATAGAATCCTTCACACAGGTAGAGAACTGGAGGGCACTGACAGGAGACACTGCCCTCCTTTGAAACAGCGTGGAAAAAAGAAAAAAAGTCAAAGTGGAGAAAACTGATCACAGTTCAGTGGCAAGAGCTAAATTTGTTTCCCACCTGACGCTCTTCTCTTTCTCTATGAATAAAAGGAAAAATATTATTAATAAAGGGGACCAGCAGAAGAACCAGAGACTTGAAGAGAAAAGACTATCTGCAAGTGGTGGAGTGAGCTAATGGGAAGGCCAAGACAACAGACAACAGCATGATCTAACTCTGGGGCTTCAGGGGCTGGAGAGATAGTACAGTAAGTAGGGCATTTGCCTTGCACACGGCCGACCGGGGTTCAATTCCCAGCATCCCATATGGTCCCCTGAGCACCGCCAGGAGTTAACTCCTGAGTGCAGAGCCAGGAGTAATCCCTGTGCATCGCCAGGTGTGACCCCAAAAGAAAAAAAAAAGCCTTAAAAAAATAAATAACTCTGGGGCTTCCTCCAGTAAAAGCATAATGGAGATAAATTACTGGGTCTATTCAGGACTGTGCCAGCAACAGATCAGACAAAAAATATCAATAATAGTTCATTTTACTAAGCATATTACCATGCTTAACATGGATGGTTTCTTTAAGCCTCATGATGACTGTAGCCAAAAAGCTTATTATTTTCATCTTCTAAGAAAGTTAAGGAATGAATAAGTTTCTTGGTAATGGTCATGAAACAGCCAGGATCCAAGGTTTAAAATTCCATTTGGAATCCAAGAAATGGAAATAGAAAATGAAAAACTAACATGACGTAAGAGCAAGTATGTGTGTAATCTGAAATGTTTCTTTTAATAACAGAGTAATGAACCATGAAAATTACTTGAGAAATGGTTTTCTTAGTGAAAATGTAGTTAAAACTCACCTAATCCTGACTGTCAAAGAGAACAGTAGCAAGCTAACTTATCACAGTATCCTAAATACTAGGTTTTCACACTCTCATTTACCTCAAATGTCAATACAAAATGACAATGAGACTTAGAAGGAATAAATTAGCTGTATTTTTAGAAAGCAATCAGTGAAGTGTGTATGTTTTCTTTGAAGCACCATGACTGACAGTGCCAATAAGGACAGGGATTCATGCAAACAATGTCATGATAGCACACCTTCCACCAGTGTCCCCTTCCATCCACCACTGTCTCAGGGCCCTTATTCCTAACCACCATTGCCCTTGGTCAGCCTAGTTCTAAAACCAGTTCACAGGTTTTATTACCTTTGATCATTTGTTATTCCAATAAATATTTCTGATCAAATTTCTGTAGCACTGTCCTCCCGTTGTTCATCGATTTGCTCCAACGGGCCCAGTAACATCTCCATTGTGAGACTTGTTGTTACTTTGTTTGGCTTATCAAATATGTCACAGGTAGCTTGCCAGGCTTTGTCGTGCGGACGAGATACTCTCAGTAGCTTGCCGGGCTCTCCAAGAGGGGCGGAGGAATTGATCCTGGCTCGGCCGGGCTGGCGGCTTGCAAGGCAAACACCCTAACGCTGTGCTATCGCTCCAGCCAAAAAATGCATCTCTCCAATATACTTATCACTGAGCCCAGACAACCCAGAGATAATAAGCGTGACTGATTTCCATAATTGAATCAAAAAAACTTGGTTGATTGGAAGTTCTTTAAGAGAACCATTTTAGTTTGATCATTGTGTAACTGTAATTCAAACATGAAAGCTTGTAACTTTCTCAAGGTGATTCAATACAATAAAAAAAGAGAGCACCATTTTATGAAGTGAGAGAACTAGAATAAGTTTTAACCATTATATTACAAAGGAAAAGAAAAATGTGAAGAGTATAAAGGTTTAGAAGAAAATGACATTCAACCCCCAATTCTGCTGAAGATACAAATATCATACTTGATAATTTAGTAGTGATATAAGCTTAATACCTCGCTTCATCTTATAATACACTATTAGGAAATGTTATTGACAGCTTAGCTTAAGTCAATGTTTTCCAAATTGTCTCAACAAAGCACTGTTCTTGACAAAAAATAGTTATATATGTAAAGATATGTGTGTATAGATATAAAGAGTAGACACATTATAGGAATTTCTACTTGGAGATAGATGGCAGCTGTTATTACAAAAACAGTTATGTTAATATGAAATAAGTTGCTGAAGATATGAAACCATTAGATTTTACAAATTTTCTATGAATATTTAGTTTTATCTCTCATACTGTCATTCAGTCACTTTTACCCAGAGATGTATCTTTGGCATGCGAGTTTCCTGGAAGAAAACAGAGCAGTCTCCTGCCCCTGTGCCTGGCTGTCCTCGCCAGGGCCCCTTGGAGGAGGGCAGGTTGAGTTTCCCTCCCCGCCCCGACCAGAGCTCCGGTAGCTGAAGACCTCCAGAACCAGCCACAACCATGTTGAGACTACTCTCCATACGCATGAAGGTACCAGCAGAGGAACAAAGGCATGAGGGTCCCAGGGCTGAGCATACTCCACCCAGATCCTCCATCTTCCAGTAGGCAGGGGTCACACCCACCAACTGACCCCCAGCGCCGCGTAATCCCATCAATGGCCAAGACGCAGAGACTATAAAACCCAGCTTCCGGAAGCACGCTGCCGCATTTGCAGCCGCGTGACATCTATTATCTCATTCTTACTTTGGACAACCTGGCCGGCTACCAAAATGTACTCTGCCCTCATGGCAGAGTCTGGCAAACTCCCCGTGGCGTACCCAATATGCCAAATACCAGTAACAATGATGGGTCTCATTCTCCTAACCCTGAAACAGCCTTGAATATGGCACTTTTTAAAATCTCAGAGCTAGGATGAAGGAGACATTACTGGTGCCTGCTTGAGGCAATCAACGAACAACAGGATGATCGTGATCGTATCTTTCCCCTGCATTTTCTATTCCCTTCACCCAGCATATGTAAGAACAATTAAGATCTTACCCCGATAAGGCTGATCCTTGCCTAACTTTTAGGAATAACAAAATATGGTCAGAGAGATGGTCCAAGGGCTACAGAGCGCAGGTAGCTGACCCTAGCTAGATCCCTGGACTTCCCTACAAGGACAGAGAAGCCCAAGTAATCCCTAGTGCCCCAGGCCGGAGCAGCACTGAATCCTCTGAACCATGAGAACCATGGAGATCACCTGTTAAGTCAGCTGCAAGACACCACAACTTCACACCTCCCACCCCCACTCCACCTCAGCACTGCGTGGGAAGCTCCCCTACCAAAAGAACAATGAAGCAGCAGCACTTACCATATACATTAGTATGTCTCTAATCATCACCATAGCTGTTTGATGATCATTCCAAGCTTGATTTAGCGTTTGAAGAAAGTTGTTATTCAATGAATTTAGTACATCTTCTCGCACCTATTAATAGAAGAGTTCATCACAGTTTGTTTATAAGCATACATGCACAATGCACACTCAAAAACATACATGCACATCTGTTCAATAAATAATGCAGTGGAATTCTATTTTAAATCAAGAAATACAATAAGCTAGTAGAAATATTTTAAACTAAAGTAAAACCTACACACAGACTACCAAATGTGTTAATGTGTGGTCCAGGTCCACCTCATAACTTTCAGAAATTGCAACAACTTCCTGGGCACTTTTCAACGATTCATTAACTTAAAGGTCAGTCAGAATGAAATCCTTGCTACTTACAATGCACTATATTAAAGTGGTCCAATGCTATTGTTCCAACTAAATTTCCTACTTATATAACCCTTCCCCATCTATGAAGAAAGACTGCGAAAAGTGACTTCGCAGTAAGCCTAATTGGGCTCAAACTCCGGCATCCTGTCTATCTGTGTAGGTCTTGGGTACTTCATTTAATCGTTGTGCTTCAGTTTCCTTGCTTGTGAAATCATATCCATTTTGCTGTAGAGTCAGGGTAGAGTCTGGCACTCAGCAGGCAGCACATGTGCTGTACCACTTCTTCTTCCTTGATTTTCTCCCTTAACAAACCAAGCTTCCGTTCCAACTCCACAGAGAGGAGCCTTCTCATCACCGTAGTACAAACCACAACCTCTATCTCTTCATGCTCATCCCTATCACACTTTTAAATGACATGCTTATAGTTTCACCTACTATAACTTCCATGGCAGCAAGGATTCTAGTTTTCTGTGTATACCTCGTATACCTAAGAATTTAGTAGGGCAGAAGACCCTAATTTCATCCTCACCATCCAATAACACACCACCTCCAGTTGTTAGAATTTTTCAGGCTCTGCCTATGGAGTGTTAACTGTCTTCCCAATACACTCATGCTAAAGATAATCAGACTTCGAGAATTCCTTTCTATAGTTCACAAGCAAACTGCCACCTGCTTGCATGAAAAGTTTTACTATTGCTATTCCTTCCTGCTGTCATTAGTCTTATGAAGAGATATTTTAAAACTAGAAACAGAATTTGGACTCTAGTCTAGCTTTATCGTAAAACAAGTAGTGTACTTGTCCTGTAAGTTACTACAGCACTTCTGAGACTACTTTGTCCACCTCTACAGTCATTCAAATCCATAATCCTTTATGGTATAGTTCAACTCTGAATACCTTAAACCTAACCAGACATCCTCTATCTCAAAATGTCCTCTACCACAGATAATCTGCACTTGTGGTTAAACATTTTGGGGAGGTGTTGTGAAAGACTCTCAATCAAATTTGTTCTTTCTGAGAAACAAACTAACCATTTATCAAGATATACAAAAAGCTATAAGCCTAAATTATAAACACATGGCAAAAATGTCATTGTATCTTAGATCTAGCTTAAACAAGCTGAAATGCCAAACCTGAAATAATACACAACATACTTTCTTTCAATAAATAGGCAGAAATAGGGTTTTGTTTTTTCTTATGTATTTGTAGAAAGGAGGTCATTAGGAGCTTTTAATAATCAGTCACTGCAGCAATCCTATTAAACATATCATATGAAAACCACTAGTCTCTATCAAACAATTGAGAATCTTACTCTTTATCTTTGTTCAGAAGACAAAGCTCCTTGACTTCAAGATACACTATGTCGCAAATATGTTCATCGTACCAAATGATAAGCTCTCATGCTGGTCAGCTGACAGTCCGGAAACAAATACTCTACGCCAAATTAGCAATATATTTCAATTCACTAATCCTAAAACTTGTTAGATACAAATTCCTAGTTAACACTAAAAACACACCAAGCTGAAAACATGTCTATTTACAAAATTTTTCACTAAGCCTCACTGCTACTGAAACCTCTGAGCAACAACTGAAATACTAAAACCATGAACCACATAACAAAAATGAAATCTTGTATATTCCACACACCAACCATCTAGCCAATTAATCCCATGCACTTAAATGAACTCCCCACTGACCATGAATTCTGGGCCACACCCAGAGGTGCTCAGAGCTTAATACTGGCTCAGTACTTAGGAACAACTCCTAGAAGGGGGCCTCTGGGAACCACATGTGGCGCCAGAGATTGAATCTGGGTTGGCTGCTTGAAACGCAAGCACCCTACCCACCATATATCTCTCCAGGTTCTCAGTGAATTTCTATACACTCCTGTTATAAAATAGTTTTGTGTTAACTGTATATAAAGCTCCACAATGGGAAAGCAAAATGTTCTTGATGTACTTGCTGACTGAAAAAATGACTGAATAAAAAACATTGCCGTAGGTTACTCTCTTAATTATTGACTGACATACTTTAAAATAATCAAGCATTAACTTTTCTATACACTTGTCTTTCAACAAAATAAACACGCATTCAACTATAATTTGTCATAAAATAAAACGGCTTTATTTACATTCTTCAAAAATTATCAACCCATCAGTAACAATAACTTTTACTTAGAAAATAGCTGAGTAAGCTGACTTAATATTTATTTTTGAATGATTATACATTTGCAGACATTTTAATTGAAAGTGAAATGCTTTCTATAAACTTGCCACAATCTGTTTTTAATTAAATCACTCTATGAGCAAAAATTCCTCAAATAATATGCCAGGAAATATTCTTGCACTCTGATATATAAAAGTGATTGGGGTTGGGCGATAGCTCAAAGAGCTAAAGCACATGCTTTGTATGTAATCCTGGAGAACCTGGATTTACCCCACAGCACCAAAATGGTCCCCTGGGCACACAAACACCCAAAGCAAACCCCAGTATTAAGCTGAGAGTAGCCCCAGTTCCGTCAGGTATGGCTCAAAAATGAAGAGAAAAAAAGAAAAAAAAAAAACCCCTGAATGTGAATGCTTTAACCATTACAAAGAGCACAACAAGCTTTAAGAAACACCGGCTTATAAAACAAAACATACATGAGGTGAAAAAAGATTTTAACCTTTATTTTACAATATTTTAACAACATGGAATTTGAAAAAAACCGTGGGGTTTGGGCCAGAGAGTACAGAAGGATAAAGGCCCTTGTCTACCATGCCACCAACTCAGTTCAAATCCCTGGCAATGTTGATGGTTCTCAAGTATAGCCAGGAGTCCCCTGAACACCTCCAAATGTGGTCGCAAAATAAAAACGATGTGAGGGCAATGTGGGTATGGGTAATATTGCTAGTCTCACAGCCTAAAATAACCAGCTGACTTTGCACCGACAAAGGCTATATAAAGGCAATGCCAGGACTAAAGAGGTGTGAGGATCAGCACAAAATCAAAAACCTACATTAAGGTTTCTAGAGAAAGCATTGGAATTAGAAGGATTAGACCATGAAAACACAGGACGGAACCAGCAGTGAGAAGTAGGTTAAAATTAGTCACTGAAAATAATTGTCTGGGCATGGCACTTGATCCTGCAAAGGAAAAAGTGACAGTCCTTTAAAGTAATACTTTTTAAACGTTTACCACTAAGTTTACCTGAGAAATGTTTACACAAACTTGGGTATATAGGTATATAAAACAGGAATTTTAAAAATCAAGTATCTACTGCTAATGAAACTTTAAGTTACACAGGCACAGTCAGCAGCTATAAAACCTAGAAGACAGAACAAACTGAAAGAAAATAAGATGTATCTAATAAAAGATACAGAGAAAGAATTTATAAACCTCAATAAAAAAAAGCAACCTGATTTTTAAAGACTGACAAAAAGATCTGGACAACTCACCAAAAAGATATCCAGATGGCAAATAAGCAATGAAAAAAATACGTAAAGATAGCCAGTATCAGATCATTAAGGAATCATTAATCAAAACAATGTAACACCACTACATATTCATTACTGAACATTAAAATGATCAAGTTCAAAACACTAAAAACTAACAATAACTGCTGGTGAGGATACAGAGCAATAAGCACTCTCATTCCTTGACAGTGGGGTGATGCCATTTTCGGACACAGTCCGACAGTTTCTTACAAACTAGAAACGCTCCTACTATCTGATCCAGCTTCATGCTCCTCAAACATAAATAGCAAAAGAATGACAATAGACATGCGTACAAAACATCTATAGCAGTTCTTTTTCATAATTGCCAAAAACTCCAAAGCAATCAGTTCTTTAGTCCCTCACTAGGTGAGTAAATTATAATCCACCAGACAATGGAATATTATTTATCGCTAAAAGAAGAAAGTTATTAAGTTTAAAAAAAAAGGCAGAGGACCTAGGCGATAGGTGTGCACAAGCACTGCATACTGGAGACCAGGTTCAATCCCAGGCACTGCATGGTCCTGAGCATCTAGCTGGAAGGGCACCGAAACTAAATACAGACAAGGAAGAACTTTAAATGGAATAGACCAAAGGAAAGGAACCAATTTGAAAAGGCTATACAGTGTATGATTTCAACTATATGTCATTCTGGAAAAGGTACGACTATGAAAACGGAAGACAGTGTTTGCCAGGACCTACAGTGGAGGGAGAACATATAAATGAACTGTCAGAAACCAGGAGATGTTTAGGGCAGCGAAACTACTGCATATAAAATGGTAGACACATTCCATTTTATTTTAGGTCCACACTCAGCAGGGCTTAGGGCTTACTCCTGGTTCTGGGCTCAGAAATCACACCTGGGAGCCTTGAGAGATCAAACTGAGCAAGCCCCCAGTCCCAACAGGCTATACTATCTCTCCACTCATGGTAGATACATTTTATTATGTATTCATAAAGATTAACAGAATGTTAATTAGCCCTAATTGTAAGTGTAGATTTTTCGGGTGATATTTTGTCAGTAAAGTAAAACCACCATCCATGGTAAGAAATGTACCATTCGGGTGTGGAATGTTGATACCAAGGGGGACGGTGTGTGTGATAGGAGGAGAGACTAAAGTATGAGAAATGGTGGTATACATTCTGCTCAATTTTCCTGTGAACCAGCAACGGCCCTTCTTATTAGAAAAAAAAGAAAAAGGACTACCCAAGAGGAAAAGAAAGAAATCTGTCTGAGG